ATTAAATGCCCAGAGCTAAAGACCAAGAGAGAATCTTAAAAGCAGCCAAGAGAAAGAGACTCAATTACCTACAAGGGAATACCCATACGGCTGTCAGCTGATTTCTCAACAGAAACTTTGCAGGCCAGAGGGGAATGGCAAGATATATTCAAAGTGCTGAATATCAAGAACCTACAACCAAGAGTACTTTATCCCAGCAAAGCTATCATTCAGAATTGAAGGTCAGATAAAGAGCTTCACAGATAAGGAAAAGCTAAAGGAGTTCATCACCACCAAACCAGTATTATATGAAATGCTGAACGGTATCCTTTAAGAAGAGGAAGAAGAAAAAGGTAAAGATACAAATTGTGAACAACAAACATGCATCTATCAACAAGTGAATCTAAGAATCAAGTGAATAAATAATATGATGTACAGAATGAACTGGTGATTATAATGAATCAGGGACATAGAAAGGGAATGGACTGACTATTCTTGGGGGGAATGGGGAATGGGAGATGCGGGAAGAGACTGGACAAAAATCGTGCACCTATGGATGAGGACAGTGGGTGGGGAGTGAGGGCGGAGGGTTGGGCGGGAACTGGGAGGAGGGTAGTTATGGGGGGGGAAAGAGGAACAAATGTAATCTGAACAATAAAGATTTAATAAAAAAAAAAAGAAAGAGGACATACAGAAGGCCGAAAGACATATGAAAACATGCTCAAAGTCACTAATCATCCGAGAGATGCAAATCAAAACAACAATGAGGTACCATCCCACACCTGTCAGAATGGCTATCATCAACAAATCAACAAAAGACAAGTGCTGGAGAGGATGAGGAGAAAAAAGAACCCTCTTGCACTGCTGGTGGGAGTGCAGATTGGTGCAGCCACTGTGGACAACAGTATGGCGTTTCCTCAAAAAATTGAAAATGGAACTGCTATTTGACCCAGTCATACCACTTCTAGGAATATATCCCAAGAAACCAGAAACACCAATTAGAAAGGATATATGCACCCCTATGTTCATAGCAGCACAATTTACAATAGCTAAGATTTGGAAACAACCTAAGCGCCCATCAGCAGATGAGTGGTTTAAAAATCAGTGGTACATCTACACGATGGAATACTATGCTGCTGTAAAAAGGAAGGAATTCTTACCATTTGCAACAGCATAGATGGAACTGGAGAGCATTATGCTAAGCGAAATAAGCCAGTCAGAGAAAGATAAATATCACATGATCTCACTCATTTGTGGAACATAGAGAACATAATAAACTGGTGAATAAAAATAGATACAGAGACAAAGAAGCATCAAAAAGACTGTCAAAGTTCAACAGGAAGGCAAGGGAAGGTTTGGGGGGGGAGGTTAAGAGATCAACCAAAGGACTTGTATGCATGCCTACCAATGGACACAGACACTGGGAGGTGGGGGGCGGGGGGAGGGGGAGGGAGGCTGGGGGAGGAGGAAGCCAATGGGGGGAAAAAGGAGACATAAGTACTACTGTTTGTAATACTTTAAACTATAAAAAATAAATAAAAAGAAAATAAAATTTTAATATTATTCTTTAAAAAATTAAATCTAGGGGGAAAATTGTAAATATATAAAATGTTCATTAAAATGACTACATCAATTAATTAAATTATTTTAATTAAAACAATGTTTAGTAAATGTAATTGTTTGACCAAATTGTTTGCTCCAGAATATAGTTTCTCAATGAAAATTCATTAGTGGCAATGTGGAAAACTCATCTAAATGTAGAATTAAAATGACTTTGGGGAAAAAAAAAAAAAAGAAACTCAAAGGAGGCTAGTCGCTAGGGAAAGGAAGCCGGACGTTGCTATGTGACGTCATTACCCGGCGCCAACAGCGACGGCTTCCGGGCTGGGCTGTGGGCGGCATTCTGCGGAATGGGGTCTTGGCAGCGTTGGCTGCGCTTTGGTGGGGCGTCGCTCCGGGGTGGTGGCGGGGCCTGTGTCCCGCTTGGGGGAAGCCACTCGGTGTGTCGGCGCCAGGTCCGTGGTGCAGCCGGGCAGGGGCGGAGGGCGGGACGGAGCTGCTGGGCCGCAGGGGCCTGGCGTTGCCTCCTCCAAAGGCCCGCGGAGCCCGGGGGTCCTCGCCCGCTGGCCGCTCAGTGAGACCCCGCGGCTGGACGGCCCCACTTTCCGTGCAGGTCCCCGTAGGATGAGGCCGAGGTGTGGAGGGACGTGGAACATGGTTAGAACATGGATGTGTGACTTGCGCACTGTTTTCTTCAGCCTTGGTTTATGTAGAGAAGGAAAACACGTGGAGGCTTTAACTCCGGAAAGCGGCGCTTGCTTCCATTTGTAACGTTTGGGTGTCTTGACAGATAAGTCAGCTGAAACAACGTGTCTCTTGGATTGTGATCAATAGCAGTAGGTGAATAGCACTAAAGGCCTCACTAGTAGAAATGAATAGACTTGGACTAGAAAAAGAATGAAAGAAAGAAAGAATGCCCTTTTAATCACAAACCCCGAATCGTTTTTATTTTCACAGTATGATAATAAAGATGGCTTATTTTAAAACTTTTTTTTTTTAAAGTTATCTGGCGCTGAAAATGAGACCCTAAAACAAAGAAGAACACAAATCATGTCCCGAGGACTTCCAAAGCAGAAACCAATAGAAGGTGTTAAACAAGTTATAGTTGTGGCTTCTGGAAAGGGTGGAGTTGGAAAGTCTACAACAGCAGGTATTATAGGATATTAATTCTAATTTCAATTAGGAACTTTTGACAACTGGCGATTGCACAGTATTAAAACTGTAGATTTGTTTTTTAAAAGTTAGTATTTGTGAAGTTCCTGATAGCTGGTTACTTAATATCAGGAGTTGGTAGTAGTTAGGAGCTTAGATTTTGGAGTTAGACCAAAGTTGGTAGATAGCCAGGCCTTTGACTCCTTAACTGAGGCAAAGGTTGTCAAGTTGCCCATCAGATCTTTAGTTCACTTACCTGTAAAACGGCAAGGATGACAACTTTTTTTCATTAGATGGTTACCTAAATTAAACTGAACACTTTGCCCAGTGTCTCCTACATAGTAAGTGCTCAGTATTTGGTTACTGTTATTATTTTAAAACCATCTATTGACTTTAATACTGAATTATTTCTATTCTTTGGCAGTCTTTTCCAGTCTTTTCCCATTTACATGTAGTTGTACATGTAATTGTAATGAGATTGTTTACATTATTGTGATCTTTTTTATTTAACCATAATATAATTTTCAGCATTTATCAAGTCCATATAGACCTAATATTTGAAAATGCTTGAAAAGATTTAATGTAATTATTTAAGATATCATCTAATCTTTATATCTCTTATATTATATTGGAGTAGAGAAAAAAAATATATATGTTTTTGGGGTGGCTCTTTTTAATTTATTGTAGACTTCATTGTGACTGAAGTGCTGCTTTTAGTACCCATAAAAGAATGCAACCAGAAATAGAAGAGTTACCATCCAAAACTAATAAACAGATATTCCCAAGTTTTTTCAAAAGAAACCTCTTATTTCTAAACAGTTAATCCAGTGCAATAATTTTAAAGGGTAACATCCCTTCTCCCAATCCTACTCTACAGAGTATTATTAATTTGGGGTCATAAAGTTCTCATGTCTTATTGTTGCCTCATATTTAATTTTCAGTCATTTCAATAGGAATGGCTGCTAATTCAGGTCTTAGATAACCTATCTTTTTTTGCAGTTGATTTTAAAAAAGTGACTACCTTATTATATTTCACTTTGTTAATTTTAGTTTGCTTCTGTACTGGCAAGATCTTTAAAATTTGTGGGTTTTCCCCCTCCCCCAGATTACTAACCTAAAGTTAAGGCATATATGCATCTCAAAATTCTTTATTTCTATTGAAATTAATGACATTTTTGAAATAAGAAGGGCCAGGTACAGAGTTCTGTGACTGTCACTAGACATCTGTGTCTTGACTTAAAGCCATATTTAATAAATCCTACGTCTTAGTGGTTTTATAGTTGCACAACTAGTAATAAATCCAACTGTATAGTTTTATTAGTTCATTTACCCCTTCCTCCTCCCCCCCATTTTTACCTGAAGGTAATTGTAAAAGAATATTTCAGATATTTGAAGAAATTCAGATCTACCAGGTATTGTAGTGATGATAGACCCTTAATTTACTATTTAATAGATAATAAACTGTTATTAAAATGATTAGTTAGTGACTGTTCTAAAGAATTTATGCTATATCCGACACATTTTTGTTTTCCTAAGAGTCTACAATCGATCTATTTGATATTTTGTTTTTAAAACTTAGCTCTTAATCTTTGGTTCTAGAATATACCTCTTTTTAAATTCAGAGTACATTTACCTGTTTTCAGTGGTGTGAATAATTTTCTATGCTCTGTGACTACTTGGTCTTGTTAAAGATGGAAGTTATTTTCATGATGATAGCCATGGTTTTGTGCAATATAATTTGCTGTGTCTATAGGCTAGCGCTTTTTTAGAGCTGATTGTTTATTGTTTTTAGTTAGAAGATTACCTATTGCCATGGAATTCGATAGCATATAAATAGGTAAATATATGAGAAAATGTATAGTATACGTCACAAGTAGGTGTTTCAGTGAATTCCCTTCTTTGCTTTTTTTCCTTTGTTAATGTTATACCACCTGTCCCAAACAACTGGCCTATCCTTTTTCATAAGAGCCCTATCTGCATACATAAGCCTTAGAAATAGGTTATTTCTATGTAACTCTGTTGGTATTATATTTCTTTTCCTTATATGTATTTATTCTTGTCCCAAACAATCTGAAAATACTTCCCATTTGAATGTGTATGCTAGAGATATTTTGGATTAGAATGATAACATTTGATTAATACAAACATGCTCCGTGAGCCTATTGTATAAATATTGAAAGACCCTAACATGAAAATGAATTAACCTCTGACGGTTTCCACTTAAATGTTGGATTATGTTTAACCTATGATGTACTTGAAATTCAGAATTACTTTATAATTTATAAAGATTAATTTATCAAGTGCCCTAGGCTAAGTACTTTACATACAGTATTTCCTATAATTCTCACAACAGTTATGAAATAGGAAATATTTTATAGACACAGAAACAGACTTAGGGGCTAAAATATCCCATTCAAGGTTACATAAGAAGGTGGTGGAACTGGGATTTGAACCAGGCCTACCCAGAAACCTATGCTCTTAACTACTTTAAAGGAAATAATTTCGGCATCATTTATGACATCGATTTGTAAGGAATGTGATCCATAGTATGAGGGTCCATTTATCAGTCATGGGAACATCTTTATTGCTGGTCTAAAGGTGGTTTTCAGACTACTACTTTCCTCCCTGCTAGTCTTTGGGATTCACTAGAATAGACAGTTTTCGGAACTTGTTTTACCACCTTACCTTTTACCTTCTTCCCTTTTCTTTGCACAGTGGTTCAGCCTTTCATATATGTAAGTACTGTGAGTTACATATTTAGAATTCCTGCATCACTAGCATTTGTTTTTAAAAAACAATATAATCATACCCATTTTTATTTATTAAAAGGTAGATTTTTTAAAAAAATACGTTTTGAAAGTAATTAAAAAATATATAAGATAGTTTAAAACAAACTAAGTAGATTATTTAAACAAAATTGTAACAGATTATAAATGAATTATTTGAAATTTTAATAAGCATCTATTATATTGCAATATTACTTTTGAGGTCTTTTTTACTTCCTGAATTCTCTCCATGTCTTTGTAAAAAACAAATAAGGAAAATATATTAAATGTCTCTGTGCTTTGGTTATTACATTGCACATATTAAAAGGGAAAATGAATTTTAGTAGAAGGAAAGTTACTAAATTTAATTACTTTTTTGTTTTTTACAGTTAACCTTGCACTTGCACTAGCAGCGAATGATTCGGTAGGTGTTCATTAATAGAATTATTAATTTATTAAAATGTGTTTTAAGCCACTGATAAAGAGCATATTGATGTTTTTCATTTATTCTGTCAAAAGCTATTAATGCTGTTCTAGTCATTTGCATGTCTTTAAGGAACTCAAAAGTCTGCTATAATTACTGGTTATATTTAATAACACTAATGAAAATGAAAGGGGACCACTAGTCACAGAATTTAGGCAGCCTCTGAACAGTGATGGCGAACCTATGACACGTGTGTCAGAGGTGACACACGAACTCATTTTTTTGGTTGATTTTTCTTTGTTAAATGGCATTTAAATATATAAAATAAATATCAAAAATATAAGTCTTTGTTTTACTATGGTTGCAAATATCAAAAAATTTCTGTATGTGACATGGCACCAGAGTTAAGTTAGGGTTTTTCAAAATGCTGACACACCGAGCTAAAAAGGCTCGCCATCACTGCTCTAGAAGCTAGAAAAGGCAAGGAAATGGATTCTTCCCTAGAGCTTCCAAAAGGTATGTAATTCTGCCAATATGCTAATATAAGCTCCTTAAACCCATTTTGGACATCTGTGATAATTTCTTACAGTAGAAATAGGAAACTAGACAGGAAGTCCATTTTCTTAATTTTTGAATTTCCAAATATGTCTTTATTTTGCCTTCATGTTTGATAGCTTGACTAGATATAGAATTCCAGGTTTAAAATAATTTCCTCTCTGAACCTTGAAAAAAAATTCCATGTTCTTCTAGCATGCTAATGAAATGTCTGATGCTAGTCTGATTCATATTGCTTTGTAATAACCTATTTCCCCCCCTCAAAGCTTTTAGAGTTTTCTTTATGTTCTTTGAGTTTAGAAATGTCACAAATATGCATCTAATTGTTGGCTTTAAATTTTTTTACTTGCTTGGAAACTGGCCAAAGAGTATCAAAATTTCAGTTTTTTTGAGCTTAGAGCAAATTTTTTTATTTGTTACTTCTTGTGATGTGTTTGTTCTCTCTCCAGAAACCTCTTAGGTAGATACGGATCCTTTATGCCAGTTAATTTTTCTCTCATATTCTCCATCACTTTGTCTTTTGTTTTGTGTTTTAGAAGATGCCTCTACACTGCTATACTAGGTTTTAGTTGTTATTTAGTCCTTCTGATTTTTTAAAAATTCAGAAATTATATTTTTTCCAGTGTTTTAGAACTATTTTTTTATTTTCCAATTGCTGTCCCTACCCACTTAAAAAAATGGTTGTATCATTTGTTTGAATCTTTCTGAGGATGCTAATTAGAATTAATAAAAAAATATTCTTTTTAATGACCTCTATTTATTTAGCATGATGGTTTTCATAATATGGTCCTCAAACCGGCAGAGTCAGCATCACCTGGGAACTTGTTAGACATACAAAATCATCAGCCCCACCTCATACCTACTGAATCCGAAACCCTGAGGGTGGAGTCCTGCAGTCTGTGTTTGAACCAACCCTCTGGGGTATTTTGATACATGCTAAAGTTTAAGAACCATGGATCTAGAGGTTTTTAAAACTCTAATCTGCAAATGGCACCCTTTTTTGTTTTCTAATGTGGTTATATATATGTACATATATATATATATATATTTTTTTTTTCTGGAGTAGGATGACAAATTTGCATGAATTTTAAAAATTTATCATTGTTATTATTATTTTTAATCTTTATTGTTGAGGGTATTACAGATGTCCTTCTTTTTCTCCCCCCATTTCCCCCTTTCACCTGGTTCCTGCCCCACCCCAGGCCTTTGCCACCCTATTGTCTGTGTCCATAGGTAATGCATATCCTAACCTAATATATAAAGAGCCAGGGTCAGTAACATCCAAAACAACTGAAAGGATGACCAAATGCCAGGCTGCACGTGCAGCAGGCTCAGGTGGGCGGGGACTGGCGAGTGGGTTGAACTGCTGACCTCTCGGTCCCTCCTGCGTCATAGGCGCCGTGGCGACTCAGCACTGACTGCCAGTGCCAAGGCCGGTGCGATGCGATTGGTTGGGGGGCCCCCCATGATCGCCCTGCAGAGGGAGGCCCAGGCCACCAGCTGGGGGGGCTCTGCAATCGCCCCAAAAAGGGAGGCCCAGACTACCTGGCCGGCGGCGGTGGGCGGGGCCTCCCTCTGCGGGGTGATCAATCGTGGGGCTCCCAGACTGCGAGAGGGCGCAGGCCGGGCTGAAGGACCCCCCCTCCCCCTCGAGTACACGAATTTCATGCACCGGGCCTCTAGTATGCATATAAGATCTTAGTTTAATCTCCTCCTACCCTCCTACCCCCTTTTCCTTTGAGAATCATAATTCTGTTCCATTTCCATGCCTCTGATTCTATTTTATTCACCAATTTATTCTGTTCATTAGATTTCTTATTCGTTTATTTTGATTTTTAGATTCAATTGTTGATTGGTATGTATTTGTTGCCATTTTGTTGTTCATATTTTTTATCTTTTTCTTCTTCCTCTTCTTAAAGAATACCCTTTAGCATTTCATATAATACTGGTTTGGCGGTGATGAACTCCTTTAGCTTTTTCTTTTCTGTGAAGCTCCTTATCTGACCTTCAATTCTAAATGATAGCTTTGCTGGGTAGAGTAATTTTGGTTGTAGGTCCTTGCTATTCATCACTCTGAATATTTTTTGCCACTCCCTTCTGGCCTGCATAGTTTCTGTTGAGAAATCAGCTGACAGTCATATGAGCATTCCCTTGTAGGTAATTAACTGCTTTTCTCTCGCTGCTTTTAAGTTTCTCTCTTTGTCTTTAGCCCTTGGCATTTTAATTATGATGTGTCTTGGTGTAGTCCTCTTTGGGTTCCTCTTGTTTGGGATTCTCTGTGCTTCCTGGACTTGTAAGTCTACTTCTTTCACCAGGTAGGGGAAGTTTTCTGTTATTATTTCTTCAAGTAGGTTTTCAATATCTTGCTCTCTTTCTTCTTCTGGCACCCCCAAAATGTGATGGCACCCCCATAATGTGAATGTTGATGTTTGAAGTTGTCCCAGAGGCTCCTTACACTATGTTCATATTTTCGGATCCTTTTTTTTTTTTTTTTTTTTAGCTCTTCTGGTTGGGTGTTTTTGCTTCCTCGTATTTCAAATCGTTGATTTGATTTTCAGAGTCCTCTACTCTTCTGTTGAATCCCTGTATATTATTCTTTATTTCAGTCAGTGTATGCTTAATTTCTCACTGGTCCTTTTCCATTTTTTTTGGAGGTTTTTAGAAGATTCTTGAGTAAACTTATAACTGTGGTTTTGAACTCTATATCCAGTAGTTTGCTTTCTTCCATTTTTTTCACTTGTGACATATTTCTTTGTCTCTGCATTTTGGCTGCTTCCCTGTGTTTGTTTCTATGTATTGCGTACATAGAGCTGCTAAGTCTCCTTGAATTGGTAGAGTGGCTTTGTGTAGTAGGTGTTCTATAGGGCCCAGTGGCTCAACCTCCCCAGTCACCTGAGCTAGGAGCTCTAAGTGTACCCCTTTGTGGGCTGTGAGCACAGTCTTGTTGTAGTTGAGATTTGATTGCTGTTGGTGTCACTGGGAGGAATTGACCTCCAGGCCAATTGGTTGTGAGGACTGAGACACCCTTATGGAGCAGGACTTGGTTCAGTGGGCCTTTGGTGCTCACTGAGTCTATCCCTTGAGGGTGTCACTTATGAATGTGTAGAGTTGTAATCTGGTATGGTCTGACATTGACCACTGGGTACACTGGCTCTTGGGTCTCCAGGGAGGTGCAAAGTCAGCCACTGCCTGGGGCCACCCAGCAGGAGCTACAGAGAGATCTGCAGATTCCTCTCCTTTGTATCGGATTTGTAAGTGCCCAGATGAGGCCCAGCTATGAAGTAAGGCAGGCTGGTGCTGGTGCTGGGTCTTGGGCCTTTTATTGATCAGTTTGGGGCTCCCTAACCTAGCTGCAGCCTGTTTGAGAGATTTAGCCTGAGCAAGGACAGGCCATTCATATGCAAAAGCTGCTGTACACAGCTTGGGTGGGGTTGTAAATTGGATGAGGCAGTGTCTTAGGGAATCACCAGGATGGAGCAAACAGAAATGGCTGCCAGTCAGCCCTGCAACTGGGGAGGTCCCAGCTTAGAAACAATGGTCCCTGCAAGCACCTCCATCTGGGAGAAAGCTGCCCCCGAGTTCCTGCCCTGAATCCAGTTCCTTCTTGCCCCGGTGTCTGTATTCCCCAGAGCCTCACCTTGGTGCTAGAGCTCAGAGGAAGCGGGAGCTTGTAAGTTCAGTTCGTGGTGCCGGCCTTTTAAGAGGAACAGCTGGGTCTCCAGCAGCCTCTGTGTCACTGAGCCCCAATCCGCACTGGTTTTTACAGCCTGTAGTTCTTACTGCCCATAGGGACTTCTTTTCCCAGCTCTGGGATCCTGGGCTGGGGGTCTCGTGTGGGGCTGGGTCCCCTTGCTCCTCCAGGCAGCCTCCACAGAGATGATCTCCCTCCTGATTAAAAAAGCGACACACATGGGTGCCAGACCAGCCTGTTCTGCCCCTCTGCACCTCCTACCAGTCTCAGTGTGCTTTCTTCTTTACATCTCTAGTTGTAGGACTTCCATTCAGGCAGCTTTCCGACGGTTCTGGATGATGGTTGTTCTGTATTTTAGTTGTAATTTTGATGTGGTTGTAGGAGGTGGTGAGTACAGGCGTTTACCTATGCCGCCATCTCCTGGATCTCTGTGGTTATATTTTTCATTTAGTTGTAAACTATTTTTTTCTCTTATTGTTTCAATGGGCATTTGGGAGAGAAGAGAGAAAATCGTGTATATTTAGTCAATGTTGTTGAAGTAAGAGCCAGTAATACATTAAAAAAATAATTTTTATTAGGATACTTAGTTACCCAGGGGAAGGAACCCTATTTTTCTTAAAGAATGAGTGGGAGGGTAGATGCATTTGGGGGATCTTTATTTTGGCTATTTTAGCTAAAGCTAAGTCTTAAGACAATGGAAAACAACTCTGTAATAAGGAATCAAAGGATAAAAATATAGTTAAAAAGGGGTTGA